AGGCGTCGCTCGGACCCGGGCTGAACGCCCGGGAGTCGCGCGGCCGCTGGCGGGCAGAGTTTGGAGCCGGCGGTTTCCGTGAAAGGTGTGATCGGCTGGGAGTGCCAGACAACCCGAGCGTCACGAGGTGTGAAGGGTGGCGCGGTTGTGTCGCTTGCTGCGAGCGACCGGAGGAAGTGTCCTTCCAATCTTTATTTTTCTGTTGTACGAAATAATTGAGGAGGGTCGGGGGTTTGGCTCAGTGGTTCGGCAGCCTGCCTTGCAAGCACAAGGGCCGGAGTTCGATCCCTGGCACCCCCCCAAACAACAACAACAACAACAACAACAACAACAACAACAACAAAAACAAAATAATTGAGGAACTAGGTTCTAGTGGGCTCCTCGCTCCATTTTCCCTGCTGCTTCTCTCCTCACCAGTTTTGTTTCCGAGTTTGACGAAGGGCGATAATAGGAAACGGCCTGTGTGTGTGTGTGTGTGTGTGTGTCTATCTGTATGCGTGCGTGCCCGCGGGCACGCGCGTGTGTGTAGACACGTATAAGTTAAATTGGTTCAGTGTCTGTTTTGCCTTGATACAGGATATGATAGCAGCGGTTAATGTGTGTGCGTGGGGGAAGGCACAGGCCGGTTTGGCGTAGCGAGGAAGGGAATACCACAATCTGTGCCAATTGTGCCTTGAGGCAAGAGCACCGAATGATGAATAATAACGCCTGGCTTGGCTGCTTTCCAGTTGATTTATGTCTCATGTCAGATCTCTCCTTCATGAAGCTTTCCCTAACAATGCCAGCTCACACTGAACTCTCTTTTTTTCTACTTCTTTTGTATTTGGACTAACACTTTCTTATATGCTTATTTTTTTTCCTGAGTTTGATCATTATGCACCTTTTACAGATTAGTGAATCTCTACAATTAGATCTTCAACACTCATTTTTTCTGAGACTGTTTTTTGGTTTTGTTTCTTTACCCACAACCAAGCAAGAGCTAGTCATTTAATGTGTGCTTTTTCTTCAGTAATTCAGTCAGCAAAATATTTATGGAATAGCCACTGTGTGCATTGTGCCAGGCACTGTACTGACATCCAGGATGTATACTTGATTCAGTCATAGGCCCTTGCATCAGAGATTTCTTTCAGTCTGTTGGACAAAAGAAGATTAATTGCTCACCATCATTCTTTTTTACGGGGCACACTCAGTAAATATTTTTAAATTTAATTTTTTCCCCAAGGGTCTTGTTCTTCCAAGAACACACTTTTTTGTTTCTTTCAGTAGTTCATTCAGAATTTGAGATCTAGTATGTGGTTTTTCAATTAACATGGCTTTGTTTTTTTTTTTTTAATTAGTATACATAACTTCTGAAGAGAAGGACCAGGAGGCCCTTTCTGTATTTTGGAATTGTGTTTGGTTTGTAACACAGTGTGCACTCGTTAGTGCTTAAAGCTAAATTTGGAGCTGCAATGATTTTGGCAATTGTGAAAGTAAGCCCTTACCATTCTTGGGAAAATATATTGGAACTATCTGAATATAGAAATGCTTAACAGGCCTCTGGCTTGTCTTCCATATATAACATTACAATTGAAAGCCCCTGTTTCCTACGCATACTTTCACACTGTTTAACTTTGAAGTTTATTCTTCATTTGATAAATTTCTTTTCCCCGCTAAGAAACTAAATTTTGGTCAACTCATGAGACAGGTGGTAGGTGAACTGCTGCAAAGAGAACCACAAAGCTGAGTGAGGATGTAGTTTTCTTGCTGTTGTCTAGACACTATTATTTGTAACTTTCATCTTCCACCCTGCTCTATACCCCTACAGTGAGAATTTATATCCCAACTGAATTACAAACTGTTGTATATTGTCTACAAATAAATGCCAAAAGCATGTTGAAAGTAACTCTGTCTTATCTACTTTTACCTGTTACAAGCTTTTCAATAGCTGTCATTTCTCAATAAAAGTTAAAATTGAGCTGTACAGACTATAGTTCAGGAAGACTGATTTCACCAACTTAGTAACAAATCACAAAACATTTCATTGAATGAATGGGATTCAGTTTGTAAATGATTGTATTTCTTCTTTTCCTGCTAGGGTTTTTAGACTCTTGAGGAGCAATTGGAGTTAACCTACATCATGGAAATGGAAACCACTGAACCTGAGCCAGACTGTGTAGTGCAGCCTCCCTCTCCTGATGACTTTTCATGCCAAATGAGACTCTCTGAGAAGATCAGTCCATTGAAGACTTGTTTTAAGAAAAAGCAGGATCAGAAGAGATTGGGAACTGGAACCCTGAGGTCTTTGAGGCCAATATTAAACACTTTGCTAGAGTCTGGCTCACTTGATGAGGTTTTTAGATCTAGAGACCAGAATGCAGATGAAAGCAGCTTACATGAACCCATGGTGAAAAAACCCCTGGAGATCAATCCGTCGTGTTCACCTACAGAAAACAGTATGTCTGTTCTGATTCCTGATGGGACAAATGTTGGGAGCCAAATGCCAGAAGCCCATCCTTCCACTGATGCTCCCGAACAGGTGGTTCCAATCCAGGGTCACAGCTTTCCACCAGAAACCATCAGTGGAACAGTGGCAGACTCTACAGCAGGGCACTTCCAAACTGACCTTTTGCACCCAGTTTCAAGTGATGTTCCAACTAGTCCTGATTGCATAGACAAAGTAATGGATTATGTTCCAGGGGTTTTCCAAGACAACAGTTTTACAATCCAGTACATTTTGGACACCAGTGATAAGCTGAGTACTGAGCTCTTCCAGGATAAAAGTGAGGAGGCTTC